TGTGTGTGTGTGTGTGTGTGTGTGAGCCTCCCTGGTTGTCTAGCCCACCTCCCACCATGTCTTTGTGCGTGTGTGTGGTGCTTTATGGCAATGTTAGCCGCCATGCTGAACTGGGAACAGGTTTTTTAATTGTTTGGTTTAAATGCTTTGACTGTCTGTGCCTGAATCCATCTCGCTCTCATCTGGGTGACAGCTGGAATGTTTGCACTGTAATCCAGAAGTACGTTTGATCTTATAAATGCGCACACAGATTGGTGTCGGCGTCCTGTACAGGCACAGATGAACCTGATTAAAGACGATTCCCATTCAGTTCACGCTCAGGTCATGTCAGGATGACATTTTTAAAGAGCGCTGAAGACTTACCCAGGCTGTTTAAATGTCTGTTCTGATGCCTGAAGAACCTGGGACTTCAGTTAGAAATGTTTGTTTAGTCTCATCATAACTGTGTGCATGCATATTTGTTGCGTTTGATCTTGCAGCTGTTTAATTTGAAAAGGGGAATATTTAATTCTGTTCTTGCTTTCTTTTTCTTTTGTTGTTTATTTTCTCCCGCTGACAGTGTCTGCAGATGTCTGTGAATGCTGAATACTATGAGTGATTGTGTTCTTTTTAGGTCTTGTTTGAACACAAGGCTATTAGTTATGTGTGGATTTTACACCGGAGGATTTTGCTGGAGTGATTAATTATATCATTCCTTGATTTTTCTCCTTGATTCTCCTCTTTTTCATATTGACCATTTATCTAAGCTGCAGGGCACATGAGTTTTGAGACAAATTTCAGGATTTGTGAATCATTTATTTTGTCGTAGGGTGAAATCATCAGTCTTAGCTGTTTCCATCACATTTTGTCATTATTCACTCACCCTCCTGTCACTCTAAACCTGTATGATTTTCTTTCTTTTATGGAACACAAAAGGAGAAATTTTGAAAAAGTTTCATACAGTTACAATGAATAGGAATTGGAGCTTTGGAGCTTCAAAGATGATACAAAAGAGCAATAAAAGTATCCACTAGAGGATATTTTATGGGTTCCCTTGCACTTAGTTATATTACAATGATCTTCATTAAAATGCTAAAACAGTAAATATAAGGATGTATTCAACTGACATCATATTTTATATTTATTTACATATTTTTATTTATTATTAATTTATTTTTTAATTACCAGAGGGACTTTTCAGATTAGACCTTCGAATATTGTCTTGGACAACCACTGAACTAATCCACTGAAATGATTTAATCAGTCTGATTTATCAACTTATGGCTTCCGAAGACTTCTCATCATGAGAAATCATATGTACCACTTTTATAATACTTCACTTTATGATACACAATTTCTGATGATTGAAAGCTTCAATCCCATTTATTATTATGGCAAACGCAGAACAGAACATTCTTCACATCTTCTTCACTCACATGCCTTCTGTGTTGCAAGGAAGAAAGAAAGTCATACAGTTATGAAATGACATGAGGATGAGTAAATGATGACAATTTTTATTTTTGGCTAAACTAAGATGTATGTTGTACATTGTGACAGCTGATGTCTCAGTCTGCCTTTGCATTTATTGTACAAAACAACAGCGAAGGGAAACAATTCAGTGTACACTCTACTTTAAAGTGAACTGCAGATCACTCTAGCATGTGTCTGTCTTTAGAACTGCTTATGATTGTTAATGTTCTCTTTCTTTATTTACCAGAGACCTGAGTGAAAATCAGATCCAGGGGATTCCCAGAAAAGCATTCAGAGGAGCTACTGAGATCAAAAACTTGTGAGTCTTCTGTATCTATGTGCGAAAGAGAGAGAGAAAGAGAGCTTTGAATTAATGATTGTGTGCTTTAATGAGATGCCCAGGCATACTGACACACACACACACACACACACACACACACACACGTATGTGGGAGGAGTGGGCAGTGCAGGTAGACAATAGTGGAGGAGAGCACAGCAGACAGACTGAGAAGGCTGGAAAGTGAAGAACAGTGATGGGGGAGGAAGACTGACAGCAAAATGAGTGAGAGAAAAAAACATTGAAGAACAGGAGAGTGAAGGATGTATGTGTTGTTGTTTTTTTAGTAAGGATCAGTAGTGTTTCTGAGAGTGTATTATTCTATTTCCATAATCATTGAACACCAAACAGAAGAACCGACAGCATCATCTTCAAACATTTTCTCTCTGTCTTTTTCTCTCTCAGGCAGCTGGACTATAATCAGATTTCCTGCATTGAAGACGGAGCGTTCAGAGCTCTGCGGGACCTAGAAGTACTGTAAGTGCGTGTGTGTGTGTGTGTGTGTGTGTATGTGTGTGTGAACTTGCGTGATTGTGTTCTGGTGAATTAAAGCCACTGCAGAGATCTTTTCAGATATCATGGTCGTATTAGACGTGGGTCAAAGCAGGGCCACACCGGTTTTGAGGGACTGTTCCAGAAACTTTGATTTTTAGATTGAAATTGCGATTAAAAAATTATATATTCATGTTAAGTTGGTATGGATTTCTCTGTATGTAGACGACATGCCGTGTTCTGCTGTCAGATCGTGCCTGCTGAGTGTTGAACGATTGTATAAAATGCATATCTGCTTTTTAAAGTGGGATCAGTGGAATTATCCTGTTAGAGAGAATGGAATCAAGACAGATAAATGGGATTGTGTCAGATTATTTTACTAGGATTATTTTGATGATGTTTTGTGACAAAACCGACAGAAGACGGTTTATGAGCTGTATTGTGTAAGAGCAGATGTGCATCTATAAAGTGGTTCCCTGCATATAACCACACACATGCATGAAGGCATATTGATATACTGCAAAAAAAAAAAGTCAAATCATCTGTAAAAGATTCTGTATGGATTATTGTAATAGGAAAACATTAAAAGGATAGTTCACTCACTCTTCCTAAGAACAAACTAGTCTATTCCAAAGCACTTTTTTCGTGCAGAACATCAAAGGAGTTATTTAGCATAATGTCTAAGATGCTCTTTTTTATACAGTGAAAGTAAATGGGAACCAGGGGCAGCTGTGGTAACCATTCACTTTCATCTGGTGAACTATCCCTTATTATTATATATGTTTGTGATTATCTTTCTCTTTCTTTGTTTCTCAGCACACTGAACAACAACAATATATCTCGTTTGTCAGTGGCCAGTTTTAATCACATGCCCAAGCTTAGGACATTGTGAGTATCTGACACGCACACACGCACACACACGCACACACACACACACACACACACACACACACAAACTGCATTAAACCAGTTCTTCAGACTGTCGTTGGCATGTTATCCAGCACTTATCATGCTGGCCCTTAATAAGTGTGATTATGGGGTAATAGGGTGTAATAACCACATTAATATGTATGTTTCATTAGCATACATTTTGTAGATTGGAGTCCTTTGTGTGCGATCATGATTTAATCCCATTTAAATGATGAGCTAAAGCAGATAATTGCTATATTGGCATTCTAGTCCTTGTTAGCTAAACGTCAGCAATAGATGATGGAAAGCCAGTGAATGCCAAGATGAGAAAGGCCATTAAGACCATGAAACATACTTGGCTAGTGTGAAAGGTCAGACATTTTCCCCTATCAAATGATAGATTGCTAGTAAATCGTCCTATACTGTGGTTACAAAAAACTAAAAAGGTAACTAAAACTAAAAGTTTTTTTTTTTTTTATAATTTTTGCTGATTTAAATAATACTGAAATAAAATAAAATATAATTATTAGATGAAAAACATAAAAAAACTTAAATGAAAATAAGGAATAATGTCATGGCAACTAATTGAAATAAGTTGAAGTGCTACAAATACTAAAACTAAAACTTAAAAATGTTTTAAAGCTAAATAAAAGAAACATAATAATAAAATACCTTATAAATGACAGAAGCACATTATGAAATGAATAGAACTTAAATGAAAACTGAAAAAAGGTTGTTCAAAATATTAATAGATATTATAAGTATATGAATAATGCTAAAATAAAACTGTTGTCATAGTTACCAATTTATTTCAAGAGAAAAAATAAATGATTCGATTCAGATCCAGATTATTTTATTAACTACAGTTTTCGTCATGTAATTTGTAATCAGTAATTGACTACAATTAGTAAGTAATCTACCTAGCACTGCAACTAAATATGGTTAAAGTTTCGTTGTAACATTAATCTTGTTAAGGGAAGGACTCCTAAAGATGCTGACCACACAGAAACACCAGAGTCAACAGAGAAATCCCTGTGTGTGTTTGCACATTGTCTGCAAGTAAAAGACTGTAATTAATGAACATGAACACACATGTCTCTCTCACACACATGGACACAGGTTTTTTCGACATATCAGTTTAGACTGCCATCGGACCTTCAAATTACTCTTTCTTTCTCTAGTCGTCTGCACTCAAATAGTCTGCTGTGTGATTGTCATGTGGCCTGGCTCTCTGATTGGCTGAGACAGAGGCCCCGCCTTGGCCTCTACACACAGTGTATGGCTCCGCCCTCCCTGAGGGGCCACAACATTGCTGAGGTTCAGAAGAAAGAGTTTATGTGTACAGGTAAGTTTGTGTGCGTTTTATTTGTGTGGCTTGTTTGTAGGCGATAAGAGATTGTGAGAATAAAGAGAATAAATACATGAATTTGCTGTTTTGTTTTGTCAAAGCTTTCATATTCTGTCCATTTTTTGGCTGTTCTCTTTCTTTGCTCATGCTTTCAAGACTTCAGTGAAGGCAAGTTATTTGTGCTGAAATAACGTGGGCAAAAACGTTTCATTACTTCAAACTGCATTTAGTTGCAATATGAAGTTCACAACCTTTTTGCTTGAGGAAGTTTTTTAATTTAATTCAACCTTTAGACTCAGCCTTCCTTTGTGTAGCACACACCCCTGCATCCTTGTCATCTGTCTGTATGTGTGTTTTAGGGCCCCAGTCACACTCGTCCTGTAGTGTGCTGCAGTGTCCTGAGCTGTGCACCTGCAGTAATAATGTAGTGGACTGCCGAGGGAAAGGACTGACTGAAATACCCACCAGCCTGCCAGAAACCATCACTGAGATGTGAGTGAGGAGCACACACACAGACACACACACACACACATGTTTGTTTTTGTGAATTGTGGGGACATTCCATAGGCTTAATGGTTTTTATACTGTACAAACTGTATGTGCTATTGCCCTACACCTAAACCTACCCCCTTTGTGCATTTTTACTTTCTCAAAAAAACTCACTCTGTATGATTTATAAGCGTTTTGAAAAACACACACACACACACACAGTGAGAGTTGTATCTGTATCAAATATTTTAACTACGAGGCCATGCTGAAGTCATGCACATTAATTCAGTGTGGAAATGGATTTATTTTATCAATGGCATCTCTTCTGTGGGCCAACACTCTGCCAACGGGGCCTGGATTGAGACGCCACATCTTTTTTAAATTATTGTGCCTCTCACTGCCAGGGTCGTTGTCTATCATTTTTCTTCCCTTCTTGCTCTGTCTGTCATCCCTTCGTTTTTCTTCCTCTGAAAGCTGCATGCAGGGCCTTGGCAGATGAGTCGGATTATCTCATTTGGCTCCGGTTGAATGAAATGTGTGTGTATGTGTGTGTTCGTCCACCTATGTGGGAGCCTGATTTTCATGCCCTGTCAACTTTGGAGAGCTTATCTGATTTATGACATATTTGCTGTCAAAGAGAAGAACAGATATCTTGAGAGAGACAGCGAGAAGGCGAGACGATATAAATAAGCATTGCTATATGTTGAATGCTGGACTACTGAATGAATAATATATTTATGATTCTTATTACTTGACTTGGCAGGTAGGAAAACTACAGCTGATGTTAATTTGTCTTTTATTGCATTTTTGTAAAGAAAGTGAAAATGATGTGATGTGTAGCCAAGTCTGGTGTCCCATACTCTGTATGTTTTGAGCTTTTGAGCTCTGTATGTAACCCATCCAAGTGCACACACACAGCAGTGAGTAGTAAACACACACACACACACA